GACATTCATGTTTGTTTCACTTTCAATGGTAACAAACGGTATCTGACCGACAAATTTGGGATGAATTTTAAAACCACTGAATCGGTGATATGTGACTGATATGTTACTTTTTTTTTCTTTATACCCCATATAATATATTTAATTCTATTTTTATTTTCATAATTTATTATTTATTTTATTAAATATAAAAATTTAATTTGTAATAATTATTTATTTAAATATAAATGTAATTATATTGGTAAATAATTTAATTTTTTTTTATTATATATCTCTTATATACCACTTACTATTATATAAATAGATATAGATAAATTAGTAATTTTATTGAAAATATAACTATATCATTCTATTATCCAAACAAAAATATATCATTAATATACATTAATATATAATCATCCAAATATAAAATTTTTTTACAATTCTCATTCTATGTCATTGTCATTTAATTACTGTCATTACCATACATGAATTAACCATCATTAAAATTTATCCAAACAGGATGTTAATGTTATGATTAATCGATTACTGCAAATGTTGAATTAAGAAATGATTTCGATGTAGGACGAATAATGATCAAACTAACCTAGTATGCGCATAGTTTAGAAATAGAGAAAATTTAGATGAGAAATATAAGAATAAAGATAGATTAGATGATAGTAGAGGTCAAAGTTAAGAAATATAGGAAGAAATTCAATGAATAAGATAGATTAGACAAAATGATATTCAAAAGAATGAATATAGAAAGAGATAACATGAAATAAAACTATAACAAAGACATTACTAATTCGTCATGATCTATTCTCTTTGTTGTAGCCACTAGCCCCTGTAATACAACTAATAGGAAAAATTATAAAAAAAAAGTAAAAAAATTATAATTACTATAATATTTAAAATTTATCTGAAAAGAAACTAAAACATTATAATGTTTAAATAAATCTAAATGACCTAATTATAATGCTTAAATAAATCTAAATGACCTAAATAACATAAAAATACAAAATAAATTAGAATAATTATGAAAAGTTTCTTTCATAAAAAAATATATTCTAAATTAAATCTTCTTGTTATGTACCGTACTATCCCATTTGGCAAAAAGTTGATCTTGTATTTTTAAGTAGCGAAACATCATGATAGGAAAGACATGAATATTCTTCAAAATCTTCAAAAGTGGAGACTTTTTATAATCTTATATAAAAATTGAAAGTTAATCAAAATTATAGATTCTTAAGAATTATAAAACCAATGAGACAAAATGAAATTATCACAAGAAATTTGTTTATGCAGTTCATGTTTAATGTAATATCATGAATGAGAACCACTTCATTAGTAGCATAAGTGTAACAAGATTCTTGAAAGGAAATAAGTTGTTCAACATCATTAGTGCAAACAAAAAGAAAATTTCAATAAAAACAAATATTTTTTGAATTGTAGCTATTGGCTCGAAAGCAGCTTCAAAATTTTCATCTTTAATACAAGTGAAATGTTAGTTTTACTACTAAGCTCAACATTTACTTCTTAGAAGACTTCTCATATTTTTTTAATAGCAGTTGTCACATATGTAATAACTATTGAGAGAATTTTTAGCATGAACAACATTGTATCGAATACAAATTAATTGTGTTTGTATTTTAATACTCTCTACGTATCTATGCGTAGGGAGCAAAGGCTTGGTACAATATGTAGTTGAGTAGATTATATGAATGATTGTAACTAAAATCTTATTGGATTATATGTTGAGTTATAATTAGATGCGGGTGGATGGGGTCAAATACAAAGGCAACATAAGAGACGTTGCTAGGGATCATTTTATGAGTCTATATGAGGAAGAATTTGTTGTTAGACCTCAACTAGATGGTTTGAATTTCAAGAAAATTGGGAGAAGCAACAGAAAAATGTTAGAAGCCAAGTTCTCTGAGGATGAGGTAATCTCTACCCTGAATTCTTGTGACGGGAATAAGGCCCCAAGCCCGGACAGATTCAATATGAACTTCATTAAAACCTTCTAGTATGTTATTAAAAAGGATGTATGGATGTCTTTCATGAGTTTCATTCC